CCCCCCCCCCCCAAAAAAAAAAAAAAAAAAAAAAAAATCAAGAGGGAAAAATGCAATGTGAGAAACCAATCAACTGCGCTGTGTATTATTTCTTCAACTTCCTCAATTGTGGTTAAGTTGAAGAGAAGCTTTCCATTTCTGCATTATCATATATCATTCACTTACTTGCTGCAGTAGAAAATGGAAATCAGATCTTTGTCTTATGAGCGGCGGCGGGTCGATATCGGACAGGTTAACCTCGCCGAAGGACCGGAATACTTCTTCTATTGAAAATGGTATGCTGAAAATGGTAGGATTGATAAGTATGATCTTTAGAATCATAGAGATTATAAATCACAAAAGATTCAGAATAACTTGGGATATAGAATGCAAATTTGTACCTTGAATCCACATCAAGCAGGAAGGAGTTGTTTGGGATGTTGATGGAGTCTTCTGCTAATAGGACTCTCATTCTTCCAATTATCTGCAGAACAGCCAAAGTGTGCAATTTTTTGTTTCAAATATCTTGTGGTTTATTAAATTAAACGATGACGAGGTTGAATAATCACTTACATCAGGAGATAACCCCTGAGTTCCATATTTGTCGTCCCAGAACATCGTTCCTATGCGATATATTTGCGGGATGCTCAGAATCTGATACAAAAACAAACAAGAAGAAGAATTAAGGGCTAAAATACCATAAAGTTCTTTACAAATGAAATTAAAGAAAAAAAAATTCAAGTTAAAATCAGATGTTTTTTTTTTCAAAAATACTGATGTAGTTACCGGGCACAATTCATCTGTTATCTCATTCAAACTTTTCTGGGACTTCTGGTGTAACACCTGCGGAGATGGGACCAAGAGTATGAGTCCTCAATCCAATCACAGAAAGCCTGATTGGTTTCACTTTTCGGTTCGAGTTACGAGAAACGTACCAGAAATCCTACTGCCTGTCTTATGTGTTGAAGTTCATTCCAGGAAGAGCCAGCATACTGTTGAAGTAAACGAAAAAGTTATAGATGTTCATTGTTTATAGAGATTTTGTTTCGAAACCTTCAAATTCCAGCACATTTCTCTCACCGTATCAGTAGCTTTGGTACACCATTGCTCCAACTCCTGCAGACCTAACTTTAAGTACTCTCCATTACTGAAGGAACAGCACTCACGTCGTAGTAACAAGCTGCCAACAGAAAAAAGTAATAAATAAAATATCTCTTTTGTTGAGGTTTTATGTAGTAAAATCAGATCCTTGTGGAATGATTATGCTCAAAGAAGCTGTATTGTTACTCACCTATTGAAGAGCTGGACATTTATGAATGAGAAAACCTGAAGGAAGATTTTTCTCATGATCATGGAGGGAACCTAAAAAATTGCAAAAGTCAATTTTGTATGAACAAAAACCTGCTCCTAAACGTAAAATGCCTACAACAACAGATGAAAAGGAATAGATTTAACTTACATGATTTTCAGACATTATATCCAAGGTCTGGTCTAGATTATTAACAATGCTTTGCCAGTGAATACTTGATGCTTGTTGTTTTGCAACAATATTTGAATGGATATTTTTAGATGACCCTCTTATTGATCTGGCCCTCACTGATCTTGGTGCCTGTCAGTGTTTATAAAAATATTGTCAGAAAAAAGGTTCAAAAAACTTCGTTTTTTCTCTTTTCTATTGTATAATTTTGGTTTTTACCTGTATGCATAGATGCAAGAAAGGGCTAATTTCTTTCTTCAAGTTATCACGTATCATCCCAAACAATTTTTCAATGCATGCTGCCAGATGTTGCTTAAAAAGCAATGCTGGGTACTTGGCTTCAACTTTAGATTGATTGTTTGTCTTTCCCACCATTCCACTGTATCCACTGGAAATTCCCATACCCATTGAAGATGATCGAAGACCCTGAAAACTTCTATACTTAGTTGAATGGTTCACAAGAAATTTATTTGTCAGCCAAAATTTTCAGGTAGGAAGCATACATATGCCATACGACCAAATAAGGTTGAAGGGGAAGTACGGTTGCGATGTGAAGCCGCAGTACTTGTATTGGCTGCCTTGAGTGAACTTTGAAGAAGATAGAAAAGGGTAGAAGTGGTTGAAAGCCAATATGCAAGGTCACTGATATTTTCTTGACTCTGCAAGTGCAATCAGTTTCATAGGATCAGTAGGATTTTCTAAAAAGAGTCACAATCAACGAAGTTTCCAGACCCAACCTCTATAGAAGATCTGATTGTGTGAATAATTCTGTCGAATATATTGGTCTTATCTGCTTCAAAAGATCTCCATTGAAGAAGTGTCTTGTAGACAATACAGGCTGCAACTGGTCTGCCTTTGTCAAAACGTTTGTCTTCTGCTAAGCACTTGAGCAGGACATCATGATTTTCCTATTGATGAAATAATTTTATTATGATTTGATAAACAATAACTCTTTCTTTTGTGATATTATTGTTGAAGATTGTTGAGAGGGAGTCCCACATTTAAGAAGATGATCATGGGTTTATAAGCAAGGAATACTATCTCCATTGGTATGAGACCTTTTGGAGAAACCAAAAGCAAAACCATGAGAGCTTATGCTCAAAATGGACAATATCATACCATTGTGGAGAGTCGTGATTCCTAACATGATATCAAAGTTCTGCCCTTAACTTAGCCATGTAAATAGAATCCTTAAATGTCGAATAAAGAAGTCGTGAGCCTCGAAGGTGTAGTCAAAAGTGACTAAAGTGTCGAACAAAGGGTGTACTTTGTTCGAGGGCTCCAGAGAAGGAGTCGAGACTCGATTAAGAGGAGGTTGTTCGAGGGCTCCATAGTCCTCATCAGAGGCTCTATGGTGTGCTTTGTTCATGGGGAGGATTGGAGGATTGTTAGGAGGGAATCCCACATTGGATAATTAAGAGGATGATCATGAGTTTATAAGCAAAGAATACTATCTCGATTGGTATGAGGTCTTTGGGGAAACCCAAAGCATGAGAGCTTATACTCAAAGTGGACAATATCATATCATTGTGAAAAATCGTGATTCCTAACAATTATATCCCCATACATGACCACAAGATGAACTAAAGCAATATACCTGTTGCTTTTCTGTGAGCGAGCCTTGCTTAGCTAGGACGGGAACAACAGGTGGTTCCTGATAATAAAGGACAAAAATAACTCCGTGTTAAATACAAAGGGACAGACGGGCATTTACTGATTTCTCATATAGGGAAATTCATTCGTACCTTAGTTGCTTTAATCTCTTCTTCCACAATATGCCCGTTATCTAAAGCCTGCCCGTTATCTAAAGCCTGTCCGTTATCCAAAGGCTGCATACATTAGAAGCTTGTAAGAATCGAAGCAATATTCTCACAGTAAAAATATGTGATCTAGAGATTTGTACCTTGCTTTCTGCAAGCACCCCTGCAGGAATAGACACGTGCTCAACAGCTACTGTCCGGTTGCGAAGAACTTCATTCTCCGCCTCTAGACTTCCGATCTTACTCTTGAGGCTGAAATAGAAGTAGGTTATTGTTATATCATTCAAGGTTTTTTAGTCAAGCAAAAATGTAGAAAAAACTATATGTACGCATGCAGCAGGAATAGTAAGCACTTACGCTTGCAGTTCATCAGAGAGGGATTCATTGTCTGCAGCAACCAAAGCCTGCTGGCGTAGAACCTGGTTCTCGGACTCGAGGCTAGATAAATTTGATTCCAATCTGGAAATAGTAAAGAAGACGAGGCGTTTACAGATCATTATCGGCAGTGGCCAGATGATGTAATCGTTTAGCAGTTAACTACCTCTCAATAGTCTCCTGAAGCTGCATTGATTTCAATTGTGCCTCTTCTGCCTCCTTGAGTGTCGCTTTACTTTCCTTTTCTACTTCAGCAAACTTTTCTTCGAATTCCTCAAGTTTCTTCTTCAGCTCTCCAACCACCCCCTGAAATTTCAGTTTTATTCATAACTTGTATACAACAAAAATAATGGTATTTTCAAGAGGCTGGTGTTTGCTGCCTTCTCATGCTACCTCAAGTTCTTCATTGTGATTTCTCAACATTTCCAGCTTGGTCTCATCAACCACGGGCACTTCCTTAATGACCGGTGGAGCTTGTTCTATGGCCAATTTTGCTTCTTCTCTCTCACGTATGATTGCAGCATTGGCTTTATCCAGCTGCCCTTGCATTTCTTCCAAAGCACTTTGTAACTTTGCAACTTCTTGCCCCTTGGCTTCTTCAACATCCATCTACAAACGCATTGATCATAAAATTTTGTCTATTCAGAAAATATTTGAGAACCAATTAAAGAGCCTTTGACCATGTGCTTCTCAAATTCCAGGCAATGCTCGTAACAAGTTAAGAGACTCGTACCCTCAAGTGCTTCTCAAATTCCAGGCGCCACGTTAGCTCCTCGACACGCTTCTCCAATTTGTCCTTGGCCTCCTTGAGTGCCCCTGTTTCTCTTGCAGCCTAGACAGGAAGAAGCCCTTTGTTACACCACCCAGTTACATTTGCTTATAGGTACGTCAGTTCATGGCATTCGATGTTTAATGCATATTGTGAATTCAAATGTTAATAAAATAAATAAATAAAAACTCACCATCTTTAGTTTTTTAAGCTCTTTCCTTGCAACTTTAGCTCGCCAGAGGCATTGAAGGGCAAGAGTTGCCTTCTGTTGCTGTTTGTAAGCTGAAATAGCTGATGCCCTTCGCCATTCAGTCTGTAAAACTCAAGTATATGAATGACCAATATTACAATGTAGAGCTTAATTACTTAGTTTCTGGATTCTGAACTTCAAATGTTTTTCCCCCTAATAATTCCTTATTTCTGTTGTCGACATAATGTCTTTGATCCTTCAATTAACAAAAATTGTCAGAGAATTTATTACCTGAACAATAATAGCTGCCTTTGTTCTTCTTCTGTGTCTGAACTCATTTCTAGCGGCCATTGCCCGCATACCAGTTTGAATAACTATAGCTGAAGCAAGTAATTTTGTGTAAGCTTTTCTGTCTGCATGAGCACGTGCATGTTTCTGTATACGGATTGAAGCAGCTTCTCTCCTCATTTTCTCATACAGCTTACGAGCAAGTTGCGCTGTAGGTGTAATTAGCAAAGAAATTAATCAGCCTCAGATATATACTAAAAATACCTACATACAGATCAGGTTTGAGACTCGGAGCGTTCTACAAAAGTATATGATCCCCAAATATAAACCAACAAGTGTTAACCAAATAAACTAACAAACTTAGTCCATACCATCCTACTTGATCAACGGACATGGTTCCTGTTGAGAATGGTTGAGAGGGAGTCCTATATTGACTAATTTAGGGAATGATCATGGGTTTACAAGTAAGGAATATATCTCTATTGGTATGAGACCTTTAGGGGAAGTCCAAAGCAAAACCATGAGAGCTTATGCTCAAAGTGGACAATATCATACCATAGTGGAGAGTCGTGATTCCTTACGGTTCCTGAGTACTAATTCTGTCACGTGCTTATGAAATAATGAATTAAGGGAAAAAAAGGGCACCTCTCCAATGTTTCTGCATATGAATTGTAGCTCTCCTCATGGTGAGAAACTCTTTCCTAGTTAGAAGGGTTCGAATTTGCCGCTGGATGCGTCTGACAGCATTGGCCAATATTTCAGTTCGTCGTGCATCCAACTCAGCCATTTGTCCAGCTCTCAGAAACACTTTTGTTTTTCCAATCTGACGCATAAAGAATGAAAGGAAATTGGGGTTTGGGAAATGTGCTTTATAATGTTCTTTCTTGACACCCACGTCAATATTTTAAATTATTACCCACCTGATAACCCTTTAAGCCCATTCTGTCGCATATTGCCATGCATGCTGATTTTTCATCGGTCCTATAAAAGTGAAAAAAAACCCAAGTTAACCGTCCACTTGAATGCGAGTCGATCTCTGCTACAAATGAACAAAGCCAAGCCAAAACAACCATGAAGTTAACATTTAGTTTTTTCATACCCGTCTGAAATATCTGGAGCAAGCATTCCAAAACGATCAAGGAACTCATCAAATGTTCTTTTCGTTGGATATCCTGCACAGCTAATTCTAATTGCCTCGAGAACTCCCTGTCAAAATTCATCAAGAGTAATGTTATTGAGGAGAGCAAAAAATATTACAAATTCAAATTTTAAATTTAGGCATTTGAAGAGTTTAACTTACCCCACATCTCAATTGGTTCAACACATTGAAGTTTTCAAAGATTCCAGGCTTCAAGACTGTGTTGGGCTTCACACATCTGATATAATGTGGTTCTGTAGTATTCAATGTTTCCATGAGAGCTTGGAGTTGTTGCTGTATGGAAGAGTAAGTCATCGTCTTGAACCTATGAGAACTAGAAGACTATGCCACAAGTGAAGTAACTTGTACCTTGAACCGAGTACCAATAGAGGAAAACTTAGATTGCTTTGAGCTCTCCTGAGGAAGTGGAGGGAAAAGATTTGCAACAAAAGAGCATTGTGAGGCATTCAGAAGAGCCTGATGTTCTGCTACTACATAGTCCTTGTTTTTATCTAGAAATTGGTCTGCTTGGTATGTAACCTGTTGATTCAAAGCTTGGTAATAAGAAATTAATGACTGATCTTTTAAGCGCGATAAAAGAGTACTCGTGATATGTAGCCTACATCTCCAGCATAATGGTTTATTGTGAAGTTTGTTCGAGCAAGTTTTGGCTTGCTGAACCGCTTATGTCCTTTGTACGTCTGATACATCTTTTGAGCAAATGTTTCATGAGTCGACTTTGGAAACATGCTGCAAGACAGGAGAACAACAGAACAGGTTCCTTTCATACATTCTAAAGTAAAAGTTAAATTTTACAGATTTCTTATCTATTAATGCTCGAGTTGAAACTAAAATACAGGGTCATTCATAAACATTACAAGTAAGAATGCATACCAGGCTTCATCAAGCAGGGCAATGATACCTCCAGGTTTCTGTGAGAAACATAATGCATTCATTACTCAAGCTCCAGTAGGTGTCAGCAAGCACAAAATATAACAAATGAGAGCCCATAAGAGTCGGTACCTTCTCAATGAGATCAAGGACATCCTGATTATCCACAAACTCAACATAGCTCCAGTTAATTTCTTCTTTCGTGTACTCCTCTTGCTCCATCTTGAAAACATGCTGCAAGGAGAAGGCTAATTTATGTTTTTATAACGGGAAAAAAAAGGGTTTAAACCACGTCTCGAGGCTTCAACCATACCTGATTAAAATGTTGCTGCAACTTCTCATTGGTCAGGTTGATGCAAAGCTGCTCAAAACTGAGAGGCAATGCATGTATTAGATATTGTAACCAAGATGCTGTAATCATGTATTAGATTTTATTTACCTATTGACCTTGAAGCTTTCAAATCCATAAATATCAAGCACACCAATTAAGCTCGCTGCATTAGGATCTTGGCCAATTGAACTATTAATTTTGTCCACAATCCTGTCATAGTTCAGATATGCATTGTTATATAGCGAAAAGCCTTAAAAGATCAGCGGAACAGGATTTTGATACTCTAAATGCGAACACCAACCAAGAAAAAAAGGAAAAAATTTAGCTTACGTACCAATCAAACAGCCTTGAATACACAGTTTTTGCCAATGCATCACGACTCAAGGCTGCTGAATCTGGGTCCAATGGCTTTGTAATTTTCCCATCAGGAGTCACTATGACACGCTGACAGAGTGAATGTTCCAATGCCTTCACATCACACCTGAGAAGAATATTGAAAGAATGTAAGAAGAGGCGCCCTCAGGAAATGAAACTTTTGTTCGGTGATTTCAAAAGATATTGAGTTCTAACATGAGTAGCTCTGCTGCTGTTTGAAGATGATAATTTGATTTCTCGTCTTTCACTTTGGAGGAGTCAAATTCCTTCCCTTTCATGAATTCAATGTTTCCAAGATGCAGTATTGCCGCTACAACACGAAATATAGCATCCTACGGAACAAATTTTGAATGAGCAAAGACTTATGTTGAGGAAATTTTCAACTTTTTTAAAGCTAGTTTGAGTGACACAAATACAAACCTGTTCATCCTGGCTGATTCCTACAACATCCATGGCGTTTCTCGTCTCTAAGTACTCTCTTGAATCATCAACATTCGCCACTTCGTAACAATTTGTTTGATTAAGATAACGATATGTCCTTGGGTCTGCTAACTTGTATTTCTTGACATCCTGCATTGAAACGCTAGTCAGACACAGCTATGATAAAGATTAAACTGTATAAGATGACTTAAAGAGGGACGGAGAGAGCTTACTTCTGGTGGTGCTGCACAAAGCATGTAAAAACAATGGTAGTTTCTCTCAGGATCCGAGACTTGGCAAACACGCGACCGTTCGAGAAGGTACGTACGAATGGCAGCCCCAGAGATCTTCCAATTCTTATCAAATTGTATTTCTACAAATTTTCCAAAACGACTGAAAGAATTGCCTTGTTATATTAGAGGTAACAAGGAAAGACAATGTACAAAGCAACCGAGCATAAAAATAAATCACCTCGAATTGTTGTTTTTGACGGTCTTGGCATTTCCAAATGCTTCCAACACAGGGTTGGACTGAAGAATTATCACAAAAACATCACCCTCCATTCAATACTTTAATTAAATTCATCTACAGTAAATATTGCAGCCATGTTACTCACCTCCAAAACCTGCTGCTCGACTGTTCTTCCTTCTGTATCTGATCTGCCTCCCATGAACGCTAGATATCTCATGAGCATCTTCGTTGTCTCAGTTTTACCAGCACCACTCTCTCCACTTACTAAGATGGACTGACTTCCTTGCTCGTTAATCATCGATCTAAATTCATGGAAACAAAATTTCATCTCAACCTCTCACAATATAGAAGCAGAAGTGCAGAACTAAAACACGTTTAAACCTCATTTTGGTCCCAAAGTTCAAAATACTGATCTAAATTCATCACTCTTGTACCTATAGCAAGCATCTGCAACTGCGAAAAGATGAGGACTAAGCTCGCCGAATGTAGCTCCTTTGTACTGCTCCATCATGTGAATATCATACAAATGCGGCAATCTCCGGAAAGGATTCACGGCGATTAGAATATTCCCGGTGTAAGTCTGCGGAGTTCATAATACTCAAATGTCAATCAAAAATTGAATTCGAAACTGAAATCGTTGCCAAGATCCTGATACTGTAATCAATCGATTAATAGCCGAGAAATGAGGCAAAAGGGAATGAAATGAACCACTCACGTATATCTCGTTGAGAGAAAATCGACATGCTAGATTATGCAAAACTCCAGGTTCATGGAGGTATGCCAATTTCGTCATGTCGTCAACCCCAGCCGGCGGCGCCTCCGTGTCTTTCGGATATATACTCGAAATTGTCGCAACAATCTGAAATCGAAGTCGATAATCATCATAAGCATCAGTTCGAAGATTGATTCGTTGAACAAACCCTCCGAAATTGATTTTTCCCAAACGAAAACAAGCAAAAATAGCAGAATGGAATTGAATGCTCCAATGAAATGCCGTGAATGTTCATCTTCTCCGCCGCAGAGAATCATCGGAGAAGAATCCCAAATCTCGCGGGAGATTAAATTTTGAAATTTATCTCATTTATGAAACCGGAGAAGCCCTGTCTTCAGTAAACGACAGTGGTGGGAGTAAATGACTAAATTACCCCTCTCTGGCATTGATTTACTTCAACAAGGCTAATTTATGAATCTGATGCAATTTTTTTCCCAGAAAATGAACAACAACATAAAAACGAAACTAAAAGGCTTAAAATCAACGAACAAAGCCAATATTGCATCAAAATTCATAAATCAGATCCCCTTTTTACTGACTCTCTCTTTTAGAACAAAACTTTACTCCCACTAACAACCAAGAACTTCCTCAAAAAAACGAATTTCATGCTCTGTTTTTCCAGCTCCCATGTTCTTGGAATGAACAACAAAAAAGAAGAAGAAAAAGGAGAAAAGCTTAACAGTTTTATCCATGGAGGTGAATATGGTGGCATTTTTGCCACTAATATCTGTAACTTGACCATCAATCCAAGCATCCTCAGGATCCTCAACCCAAACATGTGATCCGACAATGATATTCACCGGAGTCCCCTGTTCCAACAACACAAATTTAATTCTTTCTTTGAAGCTGAAAAAACAGATGCTAATAAGAATCGACAATTACCATGATCGATTCAGAGCTCTGTCTATCTGTTCATCAAAGTTTGAACCAAAAACAGAGGAATTTCAAGAACAAAAACAAAAACAAAAGAATTGCGAGAGAAAGAGAGATCTAAATGCTGGGTTTTGATGGATTGAAGAACTTTAAAAGAATGGGGAAAAGGGAATTTAAAAGCAGAGGCAATGAGGCCAATGCTTGTGTGTTGTAAATTGTAATGTTCTAAAAGCAAAAGAACAGAGTAGCCAGCCACCACCTCTACTTCTTCTTCATTCTTTTTTTTTTT